GGGGGGGTTAATATTTTTTTTAGCAGAAGTGAAAGCCCCATGTACAGCCTGGGTAAAGATACAAGGGGGCTTCAAGGGGAAAAAGGGATATTTCTCCCTACATTTACTTGCAGACCAAGCTACCCAGCAGAAGTGAAATTTACAGGAACTGAAACAAATGTAACACTGCAAGTTGTGCTTACCATGATCACCTTTTATTCACATGGTGTATCTTCCAACCTCCATATTCTCTTGATACAGTTTTGTTTTCTTTGGGATGCTTCATTTCCCATTTAGCAACCCAGCAGAAAAGCATTAAATGTTAAATCTTTTTTTTTTTTTTTATTACTGGATGCTGTTTTTTAACATATATTCAAAGGTAGTGTGTAACAAGTATACGTCCACAAAGAATGGAGCAAGTAGCTGTTTCAAGATATTTGTGGAGTGAGCAATGATGACACTTAACTCCAAGGGAGTCACAGCTTGGCTGCATCATGCCCTTACTCTGTGAATGTATCAGAGGACTAGTAAAGTGTTATTCTTTAAAGATGAAATGCACTTTTCTAATATAAATGAAAGTTTACTCTTGATTCAAAGTCAGCAGCCCTAATATTGTGATTTTTGTCAGGGTAGTTTTGGAGATACAGATACTTTTTCTAAATGTCTTCACCCACGATATGCACAATTTTCACCCAAAAGTCACACTTTTTATAAATGGGATCAGTTGAAAAAAGAGCAAATTCTGAGTGAATGTTATGTAAGTCTTGAATGAAAACATTCATAAACACACCCCTTAGGGTAAAAATCTAAGGCTTCATTCACACCTAAAGTGAATGTGCAGTTTTGGATTCCTGCAGCCGGAATCCCAAATATTCAATTTAGAAGTGGCCACTGCGACCTGTTCAACTTAATGATTGATCCAGGGACAATGGTCTATTCCAAACTGTATGTAATCGTATCACATACGATTACCTGCAGAGTACCGATTACAGATGCGGCCGCTGTCACCTAGTCATTAACTTGAACAGGTGACAGTGGCCAATTCTAAATGGAATATTAGTAGGTTCCTGCCGCAGGAATCCCAAAATGCACATTTAAACTATAGTGTATGTAGACCAAAACATTTTTGTTTCTTTTGATATTTCTAGAAAGTAAAGGTAAATCCAACGTTTTTAACTTATCATGGGAAATCTGTTCCAGTGACAACTGTCCAAAAAGGAACATCCTGCACAAGTGTGAATAGGCCCTCAAACTTAAAACCGAAGACAAATTGTTTGTTTGTACATACTTGGCCGATAAAGCTGATTTTGATTCCAAAGAGTTAAGATTTTCCACAAAGCGGATTTATTCTAGAAATACAGATAAAGCATTTATACAAAAACCTTTCACACAATGGTCCAAATTCACCCTGGCAGGGCACTATTACTTTTACTGACACCAACAATGGGGCACTGTTCCTCCCACTGACACCAACAGGGCACTATACCTCCCACTGACACTAACGATGGGCACTATTCCTTCCACTGACACCAACGATCGGTCACTATTCTTCCCATTATTACCCATGACGGTACACTGTTCCTCCCAGTATATAAGTATGAGGCATTGTTCACCCCACTATAGGGCACATTATATTAATTTTTACTGAAAACAATGATGGGGCATTATTCCTGCTCCCACTAACCACAGGCACTAGGTAATTTTGTTCTCCCACTGCTCACCAAACCTGGGACATTGTTTACTTCCACTACGTACAGGGAATTTTCTACTCCTACTGGCCACAGTGCAACCCCCTAGGGTCTGAAGGACAGTGAACTGGACCTTTGTTTGGAAAATGTGAGGACCCCTGGTATATATGGTCTCAGCCACAATGCCAGTTTTTTACAGCATGTCGTGTTTGGCAGGCAGTGGCACTTTTTATTAACTGCATGGGAGTGCACTGCAACCATGTGCCAAAAGCTTGGCATATGGTTGTGGCATGGTATTTCAATGTAAATTCCACCTTTTGGAATTGAAAAAAAAAATCAGTCATTCAGAAGCCAGCAGTATTGCCTTGTGAGCTCCTGTGAACTGGCTCTGAACTGCCTTTGAAAAGTGGTCCACCACAAATCAATTTTCAGAGACATGTGTAAACCTGCCGCCTCTTTGAAGGCCTTAGCAATACTTAGATGGACTGCTTGACACTTTTTCTCTTTGCATATGAACAATGGTTGACCTCGTCTTCACACATTTGGATATAGGGCTGTAGGTTTAATTGTAATGCATTCACTTGTAGGTTTAATTGTAGTGCATTACTTGCCACAGTGTCAAAGTCTGGTCTGCGTATGTGTGGGTGTTTGTAAGAATTATTTCCACACTTTGTGTTTTGAATGGTTTGTTTTGGAGAATTATTATGTGTACGGTACAAGTAAAGTCATTCAAAAGGAGGCTTCTGAAAGCAGGTCTCCTACACCGAGAGTTTCTATAAACAGTAGTAAATTCTGTTTGGCAGTCAGCTGCAGTGTCCTCGGGCTTTGGATTGTGAATGAGCTTCTAGGTTTACAAGCTGAAGCCTGTCTGAGATTCTTTCATTACAGATGTTTCATCCAGAAAGCAAACATACGTATATAGAGCTAAAGCTGAACTGCAGGCAGATATCGAAGACAGAGTAATGCATCTCTGTATTTATTAATACATAGAGTCCTTGACCTGGGATCAGAGACGTGTGTGCTGCTAGACGTCAGAATGAGCACATCCAGTGGCAGAAAACTGAGAGACAGCTCTGAATTTAAGATGCCTATTGCAGCAATAGTTTCTTTTCCATTTTATCTTTACATTGTTAAGTTGTTAATATTTATTAATACATTTCACCATTTGTACTGTTAGGACTCATGCACATTGCCTCCTGTGGCCGTAGAACGTCAGTTCCTGGCTTATGTCCCCCGCCATAGAGCCACACAGCCTCACAACGTACAGCCTCCCACAGAAGTCAGTAGCTGTACACTGGTACATCTATGGGATCTCTGGGATAATGATGAGTGGAGAGACAACAATGGCTTCTAAAGTAAAGCTCTTGGGATACCATTGAAAGGCCTGATTCTCTCCTAAGTGCCTGCATTGAACTATCAAGGTGGCACTGGGCCATTTGTGGCCATCTTAAAGCTGGCCACACACCAGTAGAATTTTGTTTGTAAATCTGTAATTTTTAGAAATTGTTCATCAAAGCTTTTGATGGTACCACCATGGAGTCAACAAATGTCATATGTTTTGTGTTGTGTTGAACTCTAATGTCCAATTTTGGGATGCACGGAAGTGATTCATTCATGTTAATGAAAGTTCTACTTCCAGATCAAAGTTTTCCAAGCACATGCATATTACAATCATTACAGCCAAGAACCACATTCACAGTAAGAATTTTGTCAATTCAGAAATGATTCAAGAATAATGTGAAGAAAAACGTGAAAGAAATGCTCAATCTATTTCCAACTTTAGGCTGTGCAGCAGTAAATTCTGCATTATAGATTGGGTGTGATAAATGGACCTGCACAGTCCAATCAGACTTTAGCTTTCAATCTCTAAAATACACCAACAAATGAAACATTGGATTGTGGAAGCCCCCATTTATTTTCAAATATTGCTCATGGCTTAATGGCAAATTAGCTCCATGGCTTAGGTTTAGGTTAATACATATAGCCATATTATTATTTTTACTTACATAAATGTAAGTAAAAAACAATAAAGATCTATCCCCCCACCACTCACCAGCTCCATTACTAATGGTGATTTAAGCAGGCATGACTCACGGAGCACTGTAACAAGGGGACTTAAGAAATTGCTGACATCTTGGCAGAAAATAGGCTGAATGTTAATGTTGGAGTGTTAGCGATATTGCTGAATCAATTCTCTGTTTTCAGGAATTGAGGTCGGAAATTGAGCTTGAAGTATCGGGAGACACCGATGGACTTAACCTCCTCTTTACCGCACACTGTAACAACGAAACATCCATCCCAAACAGCAGGCGGTGCCAGCAAATTAAAGTTGGGGACAGAGTGAGTACTCGTATAGTAAATACATAATTTTTAGAAGGAGAGTTCTGAGAGGGCCATAGAATTTCTAGTTAAAACTGGTATACATGCAGTCAGTTTTTTAACTGGGGTTGATCCAGAATTTTGTAATGGATTATATTAATATTAATGGATATTTGTTTGTAGTATTTTGGAAATTAAAGTTATGTTCGGTTTGCAAGCTCATCCCTGATATCTGAGCATATATAATCCATTAATATATCCATTATATAATATCTCATATATAATGATCCACAATGGATGTTCCTGTGGAATACGATGTGTGTCAGAAATTGGAAAATCCCTATTGGCGACAAAGGAGCTTTCCCTACCTAAAGTAAATGCACGCTCTGTCTATGTTGTGTGTCACTGCACAGACAGAGAAAGACATGTGAGCTGTCTACCAGGTTACCACCAAACAGTTCACATCCCGTATTCAATTACTGAATGGATACAAGGTGTTCTCTGATTGGATGAGGTGGAGATTGTGGTGTCATCTGCCCCCCGCTCTTTCAATCAGAGAACACCTTGTAACCTTGATTTGATTTGTTTCAAAATTATACATTTTCTGTATTCACTCAAGAATGGTAAGGGGTTGATGTATAACTCTTCTCCCCAACGTATAGCTTGGCAAATGCCGATCGCACGGAGGTGCATAGAAAATTCCTATGTGCCTTAGCACAATTTAGTGGCGGTAGTGCAGCGTGAACAGCATTCACCGAGCTATATGCTGGGCTGGAGAGTTAAAAATCAGGCCCTAAAGTGTTTTGGACCTTTGAATTTGAATGGTCAATGATTTATTTTTTTAAAATGAGAGAGTGAATTTACTATAGTAATACGCTGGCAAACCTAGAGATCTGTATTCCCTGTTGTAGCTAAATGTGTGCCAAATGGCATACCAAGTACCCGAGAGTCTATTTATAACTGTTTTCATGCAAGATACATGCACCTTTCACCCAGGAGTCACACATTTCCCAATAACATCCAATGTGTAATAAAATAAATATGTACAGTATATGTATAATAAATAAAATAAATATGTAAATCTTAGGTGAAAGTTAAATAAATCTTGTGTGAAAAAAAATCCAGACACATCAGTATTACAAGGAAACAACACAAGTTCATTATTATGCATTTATTTGTTTCTTCAGGTTTCCTTCAGTGTGACTATAAACTCAACTTCCTGTGCCAAGCAAACGCGACACATAGCCATAAAGCCTTTAGGTCTTCAAGAGAGCCTGGAGATTGAGATTCATTCGGAGTGCTCTTGTTCATGCAAGTCTAAAGCTGAAGAGGAGAGCCCCGAGTGCAGCCAGGGAAATGGCTCGATGGAGTGTGGAGTGTGTGTATGTAAGCCAGGCTTCCTGGGAGCTCAGTGCGAATGTAATGAGGCCTCTCTGAACAGCAGCTCCTGCAAAGAACTGGATGCGTGTAGTGGCCGCGGGGAGTGCTTCTGTGGACAGTGCGTCTGTAATCCATCAGTATATGGACGTGTCTATGGACATCGCTGTGAATGCGACGACTTTTCATGTGTTCGGCACAGGGGACTTATATGTGGAGGTAAAAAAAGCCAATGGTAAAAAATCAAGTTTTTAAACCTTGTAGGAAAACCAGTCTTCCTGATAAATCCAAAGCCATCAACAAAGCGCACCTTGTCCTTGCTGTTTTTGTTATAGAGTACCCAGGGCTGGATTTCCATATAGCCATAGAACTGCCCCACCACCACCACCCTGCCACCTGGTTACACGTACGTTTAGGTTGATTGAAACAACAAACACAGGGGATCGAAAAGGAGAGGTAGGCCCATTAGAGTCATTTACATGAATATAATCACTATAATTAACTCAGCAAACAGAAAACCATAACACTGCTAGGAAAAGCATAGAATTAGAATTGTAAAATATATGTCACTCTTATTTTGTGAATTCAGTGATCAAGAGAAGCTAAAAGGTACCTTTGGCTATGTTTTTGACCTGTTTATCATTTGTATTACCTGTGGAGCATCTCTGGTGTGTGAAGTCTATACTGTTGTGTTATGACCTCTACAGGCCATGGAGACTGTGAATGTGGAGAGTGCGCCTGCCACAGTGGATGGACTGGCCCGTACTGTAACTGTACCACAAACATAGACCTTTGTATCTCAGAGAGTGGAATTCTGTGCAGTGGAAGAGGTAAATGTGAGTGCGGCAAGTGTCTCTGCTATGGCGCAGGCGTCTCCGGCGATACTTGTGAGAGATGTCCAACCTGTGGTGATCCCTGTGACTTTCAAAGGTAATTTGTTGTCATAGAGTTATTTTAACCTCAGCTTTTAATTTCCACTGAACTATCAAGTAAGGTAGCATAACAATTAATAATGTATAAATGCAGCTTTTTGATCTTCTTTACCCTCCTCAGACTTTGGGAAATTTATAACATTTTCTAATTCCTGTCTCAGCGGTACAATGTTAATGCCCCGTTCAGATGGACAGCAAGGGGGCAGTTGATCCGCATTTTTCCACCCCCCGACTGCTCACTTAAATGCTAAAATAGTGGCCACTCAGACATGTATATAACATATGCAATGATAATGTTAAACAGCATGTCACATTTGGGAGGCGTGCTGCTTGCCAAATGCAACCAATGTAATCAATGGGACTGCGCCAGATCCACGTGGATACGCAGTTGGAGCACAGTATTGCAATTGAAAATTGGGGTAAAAAAAGACGAGAAAAATGGCATTCAGGATGCTGTAGTATCGCCTTCTGAACACCAGGCAGCCAGGCAGGATATTAGCTATTGAAACAGGAGGTGAAGGGGGTACTTACTCATGTGACAACTGTCTAAAAGGGAATTTCCTTTCATGTTGTAGAGATTTTTCAGTTCCTGTTTTGTCTTCAGGACGGGAACAGAAAGGAAATGCTCCCAAATAGACACAGATATAAAAAAAAACTACGGTTTTAAGGCATTCTCTACTCTATCCACAGCAAAAAATGCCTTTAGATATACGTTTACAGCAGTGCTTCACCTGAACCCCATTCTAAAGTCTGTCCCTAACCTGTACCTTAGAACCACCTATACCTTAAAACTGTAAATGTCATGTGAAGTTTATAGTGTCACCATGATAAATTTAAAAAAATACCTTGATAAAAAATCAGGTCAGACTATCAGCACTGAAAAATCTGAACTGAAATCTGCACGCTGAAACTTGATGATCTGTTATAGCTTAGAACATTGCAATTCTCAGTAGCAAGAATTTCTATTAAGCTAGAGAGCCGGGGGAGACCTGGCAATGATTTTGCTATAACCCCTTCGTGTAAGTAAATGTAGATGAAGCCACTTCATTATTTTTAAAGCATCACCCTGTTTACCAGATTATTTTTAATGCAATACTCTTAACAGAGTTTTGATGGATTTTGGGCCTTCGGGCAGTGACAGGAGCAAGGTCAGGAGTCTGGAACATTAGATCTAAGCTAGGGAAAAAAGAAAGATTATGCATCAAATTCAGGTAAGATGACTAAAGAGCTGTTTATCATACAGAACCGTCTGACAAATCTAGCCTGCAGGACAGCTGCAACTCTATGGAATTCATGAGATAATGGAGGTTTTCTAAAGCTGTTTTTCATCACAATGTCTTAGGTTCTGCGAAGTTTAAAAAGTAATGCTAGGCTGGGGCATGTATGGTGTCCTCGTTGCTAGTGACTAATGAGTTGTGTGTTGTTTGTTGCAGACCCTGTGTAGAATGCCATCTGCTTTCAGAGGAGGAGAAAACAGCATCATGTGCAGAGACATGTCACCTACTGGATGTCACGGTCAGCCAAGATCAAGGTTCGTATGCTTGTAGTAACTGGCATTGCAACAAGGCTCTCAGAAATCTCCTTCCACATGGTTGATTTGACCCTACATGGGGATGATGTCATCCCTGGCACCAAATTATGCCTCTTTGCCGCCCACTATGAGATAGTGTTAGTAGGAGGTCTCACGTACTGGACCTATATGTGAGGACGTTTTAAGTGACCCTAATGAAATGCTGTGTAGGAGACCCAGAGATCTACATCAGTGGTGTTTACAGTTCAGGGGACCTGGTTGCGACTGCAGACGATGCAGCCATGAAGACCACTTAGTTTTAATTCTCATACTCCAACCATAGTGTGGCCACGCGTGGAGGATCAAAATAAGAACAGAATGGGCAGCTGGCTGTTTTGGGCAAGTTCCTTTTCCTTTAAAGCTAAACTCTGGGGAAAAAACATACAAGAGGCATGTACATTTTTACTGTACATGAGTCTTGGCGTGCTTTGTGTATTTTTTCCAGATCTCTGCAGTAATCCAGCAGGAAACTTTGCCTTTGTACAGGGGATTCCTGTAATAAAGACCAGTCTCTGCTTTTCTCTCTCGTTGTGCAGGGTGACTGGTCTTGTATCTGCCCCCACCTCTAGTTTTTATGCAAGCAACTTGTAGTTTGTTTGCAACAAAGCGACTCTGCCGCTGGGTTGGAAGAAGAACCTGCAAAAGAAGAGGCTGTATACTTACCAGTCCCGAAGTGTGCTCCTCCGATCTTCGCTCTGTTGCAGAGCAACGGCCTCTTCAGATCCAAAAACACTTCCACTAGTGTTACATGCTTGGTGCCCCCCAATGTCGTTTCTTCTACCAACCTCTTCTTCACTACAGGACACAGTAGTGACATATTGATCAGTTGAAGGAACCATTGCACGCAGCAAGGGGTGCAGGCATGTGACACTCCTGGAAGTGTGGAATGAAGATTCTTTAGGCAGCCATTGCTCTTGAACACAGCTATGATCAAAGGGACGGTGAAGGGATAGGTGAGGATAAAGCCTCTTCTTAGGCAGGTGGTTCTTTGATACATTATTTTTAACCCAGTGACAGAGCCCCTTTAAATTCTACATATAAAACATATGAAAAAATATGTAAGAATGCTGAAACTCCATCTAAAAATAGTTCCAAATAAGTGTTATATTACAAGCACACAGATAATCCTGACTGAAAGTAGTCAGTGCCTTCCTTTAATAATATATAAAATATATAAGCTGTTTCAACTACTGTTACAATCTATTCTTCAACCATGTACAGGATCTTATCAACGTGTATCTGCCACTGAGCAGAGAGTAATACATCACTCAGAGAGACCTTAACCATAAATAACTTTTCCTCTTCTTTCTGCAAGCGAGTCACATTTCACAGAGTTGACATTCCTGGTTTTCTTTACTTAACTGATTCCAACTGTTGTGACAATCTATAGCAAGCCATGCATAGTAAGACGCCGCCTTGGGGTATCAGTATCCCTTAATAAAAGAATTTTTGCTAAGATCCAAGTGTCTTCAGGTAACTGGAAGTAATAGAAAACACTCTGTTGCCTTTTAACACAAAATGAGACTATTATGTGCTACTGGCTGAGTCCAAGTTACATTGTTAAGGCCTGCCGAATGGGCGGCCATTTTGTGATTCAGATGAGGATCAGTGACTGACATATCCGGAATGTACTTAGACAAGAATAATCAAAGCCAGACGCAGGTATGTCCCTGTAACCAAGACAAAAAAAAAAAAACCCAAAGAATTATTGAACTTTCCTCTGCAATTTTCTCCGCCTGCTTCCATCTTAACCATTGGTGAGCTTGGACTTGACTTGACAATCCATCAGACCTTTTGTTTTGATGTCATGCATTTTATTTCAGCTGTCTCTTTCCCTTCTCATCCCTTCAGATTTCTCCGAAGATAAATCTATTTTCTGTAGCATGCAAGGTGAAAATGAATGTGCTATTACATTTTGGATGGCCACGGACGAGCTCGGAAAGAAAGTCATTTATAACCTGAGCCAAAACGGTAGGCATTTAATATTGTCTGTCACAGATTATAATGTGAACAGTGGAAATGTGACAAATTGAGCCGGCCTGACAAAATGGCTGGCAAACACAATACGGCTATTTAGTGCATATATCTTATCTCGTTTACCGCTGACAGGGAGCATGGAAATATGTTTTTATAAGCAATACCCATTATCAGGCTTATGCAAAGCAGGCATATATACAGAGTGGAAAGACATATTAAGTGAATTTTAGGAAAGGTTCGAGCCTGTGTGTAGGCGGACCCCTCTCATACTATACATAGTGCAGTGTCTTATTAGAAGATAAATGTTTATATGGTATATTGGCAATTTATTTTTACTTTCAAATCTGCTTCCATAAATATAAAAAATACCCCGCTCAGCAGGAAAAGCAGGGCATGGTTTCAAAAGAAAAGCCGTAGTTGTAAAAGTCCCCTGCATGCCAGTACACTAGAACAGACAAAAAAATGCACATGACCCATTTTTAGAGCACAGTACACCACAATGCACAGTATATGCATTATGAGTGTCATTCACAAAATTGTGTGTTGGGATAATGTGTGCTTTTTTACCATGCATTAAAGCAACCCTTGAAGGGCTTTTTTACACCTGTATGCTTTGCTGTTGTTAACTTGCATTGTGTTAGGGCAGCCCATTCATTATGAATAGGCTGCCAAGGCACTTCAACAGACCAGTTAATGAACATGCATGTTTTCTGCAGATGCAGTGTAGCGCTGCACTACACAACACATGGTATGTGCGTAGAGTACATTGGGGTGCCATTAACTGTGAAAGGCACCACAGTTCTCAGCACATAGCATTTTGTGCAGTGGTATTGTGCTGCCTTCTGGACATCTCGGTGACCGTACTCAAGTTGACCACCACTGCTCTAGTTCTCAATTTTAGTGAAAGCAGTCAGTATACTGTGTCACTGGAAGAATTACCTTTGGAGATTAGAGAGAAAATAGTTTTGCTATACGGCCCCATTACACTTACAAGCTGACATTGTGCTCTGTCAAGCTAATAAGGCCACCTATGATGGAAGAACCCAATAAGTCCATCTATGATGGTCAATAAGAAGTCTACACACAATATATGATCAAAAGTATGTGGACACACCTCCCAATGATTGAGTTCAAGTGTTTCCAGTAAAGGGTACTGTTAATGTTACAACATACAAAGCAATGTTAGACTATTAAATGCTTACAAGCTTGTGGTAACAGTTTAGGAAAGGCTCATTTCTGTCCCAGCGTAACTGTGTCCCTGTGCGCAAAGCAAATTCCATAAAGACATGGTTTGATGAGTTGGCATGGAGGAATTTGAGTGGTCTGATTAGAGACCTCAACCCTATTGAACATCATTGGGATTAATTGGAATGCATATTGTAAGCAAGGTCTTCTCAAGCATTATCGGTACCTGACCTCACCAATTCTCTTTTGGCTGACTGGGCACAAATTCCCTCAGACACAATCCAAAGTCTTGTGGAAGATCTCGGAAGATAGAAGGCCATTATAGCCACAAAGTGGGGCAACTCCATATAAATTGCCAATTTCTTTTTAGGGCTTGTTCACAACAAGTGCAGTGCGTTCCAGAGCGGTAGCTGCTGGAACGCACAGCAATCGCTTACTGAACTTCCCCCTTCGTTCTGGGGCGTGGTGGCGCATTGAAGTCAATAGGACGCGTGGCAAAACATTGCCTGCATTCTGGTCCACTGCGAATGCAAAAAATAGAGCATGCAGCATTTTTTTGTGTTCACAGTGGAACGGAATGCAGGCAATGTTTTGCCACAGGTCCGCATTGCAGGTGAGGGTGTGTGGCTGCGGTGCCATTGACTTCAATGCACCACCACACCCCCTCCTGCAACGGAACGATGAGTGAGCGATTGCTGTGTGTTCCAGCACCGCAATTGGTGTGAACAAGTCCTTAATGGGATGTCCATCAAACTCAAATAGGTGAGGTGTTCACAATCTTTTGGCCATATAGATCTTTCATACAATCTTGCGCTATACAACACTCATTGCACATTCGTCCGCCTCCCTCTAGTTGCAGTAGTTACATCAGATGTGATAACCTGTTTCCTGCAGCTCACCATTACAAGATCAGCTAATACATTTATGGCCAGGATGGCTGCATATTTCCAGGAAAGTATTTTGAAATGTATTTGTGCAAATCACAGTCTTTCTCTGGTATTGTCTGACGTGGAGTCCCATGAGTAATCATCAGTCTGTTCATCTGTCAGCATTTCCCAGCTGTCTCAAAGCCGAAGTGTCACATGACACTCATCAATTTCTGGAGAATGAAAACGAGAGCCTTTGAGCCGGTGGAATTCCGTGCAAACGCTTCAGTTGAATGACGTGTATTGCCATGGAGAATGGCTTGTTTTCTCTGCAACTGTTCTATTCAAGGGTTTTTTTTATTTTAAATATCATGTTTTAACACTCCTGCATACATTTCCTCTAAAATGTTGTCTATATTGGCATGGCATTCAAAATATGAGCAATGCTTTACTGAGACAGGCGGCAGGAGGAACCACTGTGTGGGGAAGGAAGGGGGGAGACAGGTTTTCCACACACACTCAGAAGTGTGGAATATATGCAGCAACCTGGGTGCAGCAAAGTGGTGGCATTTCAATGCATAAGCCACTGGGAAGGTAAGTATACTGTATAACATCTTCTTTTATAGGCTTGGGGGTTTTTTTTGGACAAGTGACCCCTGTGGTGATAGCATTGCTTTAACTTTATCTCTAGCCAAAACTGTTTTTATAAGATTTGGATGAATTAGAAAACACTGTCAGGTTGTATTGCTAGGTTGTATTGCTAGGGAACTGATAGATATGTGGTAGGGCTTGACGAGAAGGAATACGATTAGATTTTGATGTACATAGATTTTGGTGCAAACAAGAAGGAGGTAGGGTTTACTCCTTGAAGGAGGTAAACCTGTGATAACAGTATATATATGTGAGAGAGGACCTGGTTAGGGTCCTATGCAGCTGCCTCTCTGGTTGCAATGGAGGGATCACTCATCAGAAGATCAAATCCTGGATGTGTATTTTGGAGAACCTATTTAAAATGGTCATCTGGTTTGAAGGATCATTTGAACTGTTTATTTGAACACAAATGTCAGATACAGTGAATCTATTTTGGGGGGAAATGGAACCCTCCTTCAGGGCTTGAGCAACAAATTGTAATTAAATCGGCAAGACCTGTCAATGAAGACAGCCGACTGGATTTGGGCTCATCCTGTAGATATCCACACCACACTCCTGACCGGTATACCCCTTGTAGGGTGCTGAAGTGACTACGGATGGTGCCACTTAGATTATGCCTGATGAAGGGACCCTATGCAGCCCCAAAACGTTGCAGTTTGCTTGACAAAATGCCTACACAATAAAGACATTCTTGGACACAGATCCTTGGTGTGCTGGTGACAAACTATAATCTTTGCACTTGGGCTCGGGCCCCAAATCCAGTCGGCTGTCCTTATAATGATTACATAATCAGGCACCTAATACCAGCATCATGGCCCACTTAATGTGCCACTGGGAAAGAGTTAATGGCATGGATGAACAGGGTGATTTTGGTGAAATTGGACAACAAGATGACTTCACTGAAACAAAACCTCCTAATTTTGTTAATTTGTTGCTTGGAAATAAAATCTTTCTTTTCTTTTTTAGAGGATGTTTTTGTATAAGGGGTTCTTTTGGCATTTAAAGCAGAATCTAGGGAAAATTAATCTTAACCACTGCAGTGGGGCTACCCCTGCAGAGCAAGGGTTAAGTGTTTGTTTTGGTCTAGGGAGGAATATAGCAAAGTTATACTCACCCATTCCTCTGAGCTGTTGGCTGTGAAAGCCCTCCCTCCAGCCTGTCTCCTCTTCTGCTGCAGCGATGGTACATCTCTTGGCATCCTCACATCCTATACACTGTGTATTGAACATAATGACTCACAGGACCTTAGAGCACTGCAAAGGACAAGGAGAAAGGCTTCAGGGACTGGTCTAAGAGCAAGCTGGCTCCGAGGATCAGGTGAGTATAACTGTTATTCTCCTCCCTAGATGAAAACGAGCACTTAACCTTTGCAGTGGAGGGGTAGCCGCATTGCAAGGGCTAAGAGAACATTTCCCTGGAATTCTTCTTCAAGACATTTTTTTTCTTCTCCTTTTTATCTTTCCTCTTTCTGTTTATTTGTTATTTGTATACTGATACTAGGAATATTTCATTTTACTTTTTTGTTCATTGTCAAATAATGAGTGTAATGAGTGGCTGTTACGCATTGAAAGGAGCACAGGTTCAGGATAGGTAAAAGGAGCTTCTGTTACCCTCAGGAGTCATATAAAGCCCATTGTACCCTTAAAAAAAACACCAACAACCACTTTAATTTTGACCTTCCCCATTAACTCCAATGCATCATAATCTTCCCATTTTGGGCTAAATTTCAGAAAATAAAAACTCAGTTTTGCTCACCTCTAATCAATAGTAGTTTCTGCCAAACATTTCTATAGGCACAATAAAGCCATTCATATATTTATCCTATTTGCTACATAAAAGAGGAGGATTTCTCGCCATCTATATTTCTCAGTGCCTTGTTTTGTCTGATAACAATTATTAAATACCCTCCAGTCTGCAGCGTGTCTGCGGAGCAGCGCTTAGCTCACAGTGACATCTAGTGGTTGCTGAATGGTCTGTAAGTTATTATTTAGTCATCATTATGCAACGTTATTTCTACAGAGTGACCTTCTTGTTACCATTTTGTAATTCAGGCTACAGCAAAGGAAAATTGTATTGCCTTAAAGTATCCAGCTAAAACCTTTTTTGGTAGAGTAGGGAAGGGCTTTTTTTAATTTGAAAATTCTTTTTTTTTAAAGTGGTACATATGCCATGCACAGAAATGGACAATATCAGGTACATAGGGGTACAGCAGGGTTGAAATAGAAATCTAAAGAATTCTCAGGTTCAAAGTAGACTTCACAGTTGCAAACCTGTTCTTGGTTGTTGGAATGGTTCTATTACGGGGTGGCAAGTGAGCGAAGGTTGCCAGCTCCGTGCTGATTCCCATCTTCAGGGCTTCCAACCCCGATACCATCGGTGCAGGAAGCCATAGGAGTCTATGCAGGCATTTATCACAGCCGCTCCGTGGGCTTTAAAAAGCTGTATGCCTTGATGGATGAATGGTGCCCCTACGCTGATTAGCCAACCTTATGACAACCCGCCTAATATTAATTAGGTCCCCATTTTGCCACCAAAACCGTCCTGACCCATCAAGACATGAACTCCATTAGACCTCTGAAGGTATGATGTGGTATCTGGCACCAAGCCATCAGTAGCAGATCCCATAAGTCCTGTAAGTTGCAAGGTGGGGCCTCCTTTTCTACCCTTGTGCATTAGTGAGCCTTGGCTGCCCATGACCAAGGCCTAAACCGTTCACCGGTTTTCCTTACTTGGACCACTTTTGTAGGTCCTGACCACTGCAGACCAGGAACATCCCACAAGAGTTTCAGTTTTGGAGTTGCTCTGACCCAGTCATCGAGCCTTCACAATTTGGCCCTTGTCAAAGTCGCTCAAATCCTTACGCTTGCCCATTTTTTCTGCTTCCAATGCATTAACTTCAGGGACTAAGTGTTCACTGCCTAATATATACCCCCCTAATTTCAGGTGCAATTGAAAATAAATAATCCTGTCAGTGGTCAGAATGTTATGGCTGATCACCGATATATATAGCACCCACCACAGATTGGATACGTTACAGCAGAGTACACAGCAGAGTATTTATAGAGGTGCTATCTCATCTGCATTTGAGGGAAGCAGGTCATTTTATTCTGGCTAATGTGAGTAAATCCTTGTCAGCTTTTTATTACAGAAAGGTCCCTGTTGTAGGTTTTCCCCAACCTCCTGTTCATTGAAACTGTTGTCATTGTGAGGGGAAATACTCTTGAGCGTAGCTCCAAATAGCAGGTTAAAAGAAAAGATTTATTCCAATTTTTCTTAAAGAATAGATTTGTTCAGACACTTATGTGTATATATATATTGTACGTTATTTCCTATAAGGTATACATTCTGAGGTTACCAGGTTGTTTTCTAATGTATTCTTTTTTTCTCTACTTTATTTCAAACTCTAGATTGCCCAGAACCTCCAAATATTCCCATGATCCTAACTGGTGTCTCTATCGCCATTGTGTTAATTGGCTTAGTGGTGTTGTGTATATGGAAGTTGTTGGTGTCCTTTCATGACCGGAAAGAAGTTGCCAAATTCGAAGCAGAGAGGTTGAAGGCAAAATGGCCACAGGTACATGTATAGATGATTTGGTAAATGTAAAGCAGTCACATCAGTTAGCCCTCTTATGCCGGATATGCCACTAGGCCATCTAGGCTAAGTCTTATGCCAGCATGCCTTGCAGACATAGCACATAGCTTGCCAGGATGCTGGAAATTGACCAAGTACAAGGAAAGCAGCCACTGCTTCCTGCAGTGAGTAATATACCTCGGCCACCCACACGAAGGCCCCCTATGCAGGGACACAAGGTGTTTAGAGGCGCATCTTCTTTAAAGGTAGTTGCATGGCGTTTGGGAATTATAAAAAGACATATAGGCACTCAAACAAGCAATAAATAGTTCCTTAATCCCAGAATAATCAAAATAACATAATAGCTATCATATGTGCCCAAAAATCTATAATATCTACAATATAAATATGTATAGAGGTAGTCCCAATACAAACTAAAATAATACTTGATCTAAGTGTGATGAGAAGCCACATGCAGCGAGGTCCAGGATAAGGAAGAGGGAGTCTATAACCAGGATAACATCAAAGACCGCACAAAGAGGCATATTTAGTGTAGTAATTGATAATAAGTTTAATCCAAGCAATAGAATAAAATCACACTCACAAAAGTGGTGAAATACAAAATGGGAAGAGCAGCACCTCGGAGCGAACAGATGCAGCTGAAAAGGTCTATCCCTGACCACGGGTGGGAAAAACACCATTCTGCAGCATCTTGATGGAAGGTAAGATCCACAGAGTCGGCAGTGAGAAGATCGGCCCTCCAGAAACTACAAATCCTGTTAGGCATTGCAAGACTTTGACAGTGTCTGATTATGTCTGTGTGGACATGTTTACTTTTTAATGATAATTTATTGAGAAGTTATTTCTTTTGTGTTTAAGGTGGAATTAACCTTTAAAGTGGTTTTTAGTGTTCTCAATGGTGCAATTGCTCCTGAGGATTAAGGGTAACTCCTCTGAACTATTCTGAGACTGTTCTACTCATTAGCGTCACTATCTTATATATTTTTGCAAAAAGCAATGAAACTGTGAAAAAAGTCAAATAAAAAATATAAAGCGATGGTATACAAACAGCGATCAAATACAAAAAAGGAAATACACACAAATACAAAGAACAGAGTAAAATAAAATACCCTGAAAAAAGAAGGAGCACAAAAAAAGAGTAGATCAATGTAAACAAACCACCAAAAGTTCAATTGGTGAAATTGAGTTTCTGCTTTGGCGAAATTTCACATAATTCTGCAGTCCAAAAGAGTCACTAAAAACAGTTACAACAAATAGCTGAACTTGTGGAAGGAAATCCTTATACTGCATTTCTATAGTGTAAAGCAAGGTATCCCAGAAATCCCTCAATCCCTATAGGTATGCTTACTTCTTGAACATCGCTGCATGAGTTTGGGGCATGACGATCTATGTTAGGCATACTTTCTTAAAACTTCAAACTTCTCTAGTTAAGATGCCCACAGTTAGTTTAATATCCATCAGGCAGGAAGTCTGAATTATCATATTGGTTGTGCATCATACAGGGAACTGCAGGAAAATATAAAAAGGTGGAAAGATATATGTTCATACTTGCTTGAGTTGCTTGGTATGTAGTATCTGATAACCAAATTGCTCAACTCTCACATAAACTTTAACACAATAAATGTTTTACATTTTCAGCTTTCATTAAAAATAATAATTGGTGATCCAGTCATAAAGGTTCTTTTATAATGTGGCAACGTTCTGCCTTTGTCTCCCAGTTGTGCTTATCGTTGTCTCCCGAAGTTTTAAGCAAGTATTTCATTAAAACAAAAATTGTTTATGATACATATTAAGTAAACGGAAATTTTTTTTTTTAATCTTAAAAATGCAATCAAGTACCTTAACTATTAACAAGGGAAGCACAGATACTTTTCGAGTACCAGTGCAGATACTTGGCATTTTCATGAGAACTACCAGGGTTGCAGCGGTTGCAGCTGGGACTGGGCTCTGGCACTCCCCCACTGTCCTGAAATCATTAGTGTGTATTGTTTTAGAAAAACTGTATTTTTAAGTTTTTCTAAAACTGTATTGTTTTAGAAAAACTGAAACCCAATCGCAAATTCCCCTCCGGGAGCATTTTCGATACCTACAGATTAGGCATTGGGCCTCCTCTATGATAACTAATAGATCTACTCTCCCAGCGCTAACAACCTTTGAGCACATATGTTACCACACACCTATGCAGCCTAAATTGATCTCTATCCTATATTCACAACTTAACTCAGTGTCTTCCCCAACGGATCATGCCTATACTCGCAGATGGGAGCTCGATCTTAATACATCCAGGCCCGCACACGAATGGCAGCAGGTATGGAAACTGACAGCCTCCTGCACGATTAACATCACTTCCTTGGAGACCGCTTACAAATCCATGATGAGATGGTATATGGTCCCCTCTAGGTTGACTCATATAAACCCCTCGTTCTCAGCTCTGTGCTTCAGAGGTTGCTCGACCAAAGGGGATGTCCTCCACACATGGTGGACTTGCCCCATGCTAACGAGACTCTGGTCCAAGACCTTTCAACTTTTACGATCTCTCTTTCATAAACCTATAACTAGGGATCCAGGGTTCGCACTCCTGCACTTCAAACCATCTGAGCTCACGTATTCCCAATATAAATTGGCTGTTTTTATTCTCCTAGCGGTAAAACAGGCAATAGCCCAAGCCTGGCAGAAGCAGTTTGTTTCGTTTGCGGACGTGAGACGCAGGATAGATTGGTTTTTCATAAACAAGAAACTCTCTAGTATCCTATTGGATACTCAAGAGAGTTACCAGAAGGTTTGGAATCCCTGGATCGCTCATGCACACCCTGAGCTCCCCTCGGAAAGTTTCACATACTTTTAAGACGATTGGAGATCCTGGTGCTGCAGTGCTAAACACCATGCTGTGTGATGACCCTTTTAGAGATATATTAAAATTCATGTCAGTGCCAACACAGCATTGTAACCAGTCCTATTGTTTTCTTTCCAGGATACAAACCCATTGTACAAAGACACTATCAGTACATTTAAAAATGTCACCTATGAGCGAGGAATAAGAAGAGACGGCGCAGCGTGAAGACATATTCCAATGGCTATGCAGAGGTATAGAAGATTAATGTATTCCAGATTCCTGGAGTTTTCTACGCAATTCAAGGCCCTGAGCTGCGAGTTCATTAGTTCTAGTAGAAATTCATGACTTTGCCATTCATCCGAACACAGCCCTGGGCCAAGGCAGAATCCATGCATCACAGAGTACTGAAGAAGAAAGAACTACTGAACAATGCGACGATTCGGACAGGGACATAATTACAAATATCAGGGGCCCATAGCAAACTAATAAGAGCCCTCTGCCTTCCTAAAGGACTGTAATTAAGGGTATGTGCGTATTTACATTTGAACTGTGTATTTGCATTGTGTTTGCACTATTTCTACTTTGTGCTTTTTCACATTCACAGTGAGTCATCCTGGAGATCATTAATTGCCACCGTGACTGTGACTATGTTACATACTGCCACAGTTGCAGTAAATGAATCTGAAAGCAACATGCACCATTCAAAAGTGTCTGGTACAAGCTAAGCAGGGCGGTGTGTAGTGGCCTTGATTTCATGGTAGAGATTAACACTACAGATTCAGCGTACCCCTTACAGCTGTCTAGACCTCATGATAGCAGGTGGTGTAGTGACAATGGATGGTGCCACCCTATGGTACCAAGTAGAGTAGTAGGCATCTCTAGCACAAAAATGTATGCACAAAATAGGATAAATAGTGCACTATAACCTCGTGACTATAAATGTCCCTATTTCTTGCATAATTTTGTGTGTTGATAACTCTTTGCTACTCTACAATAACGCTACAGTGACTCGCTGCAAAAGTATTGAAAAGCTAATGCAATACAACCGTAATTAAAAAGCCAGCTTGCCAATTGCTAGCCAAATATACCTTTATAATAACACTACAAAAGAATGATTGTTTTACAGTGGATGAAAAGCCAAACCTTTTTTTGTTAGCTCTGGATAGAATCTGAAAGGATTAGAACCTGTGTTGGACTTCTATTGCTGTCTGCATGTCACTGCATGGGGAGATCATGGGCTCATTAACATGGGAATGCACATTCTTACACATTCCTTCTCATGCAGAGACCTGCTCCTGGGAGGGACAGATGCTGCATGTATTGCGTGCATTCGCCTGTACCTCACGATGGGAGGACGCGCATGCATGCCGTTACATGCTGACCCAAACCTGAACATGCGTGCAGATCCAAATGCCTGCACCTGGATGCACACTGTCTGCGTCCAAATTCAGGTACCAAAATTGTAGAAATGTCACCAGCACACCAGTCTTTTTAAGATAGCAAATGCTTAATTTATTGAAGTTTTTTGTCATATGACCAACAAGCGCTTTGGGACCACACAGGGTCCCTTCATCAGGCTTTAGCATTGAAAATTCAGGTACCAGCACCTGCACCCAGGTTCAGGTCTGCGTGCAACCTTGTGCAGCCACATTCTCCCATAGGGAGGTACGGGCGGTTGCATGTGATTACATGCAGCACCTGTCCCTCCATGGGTGTGCACTCCCATGTGAATGAGCACTTACTCTCACTAGAGGTCCTGGTGACCATTGTCTTTGGTACAAAAAGTTATGGCAAACCCAAGAGTTTTTTTATAGGAACAGATGGTGAGAGGAAATCTTCTAGTGGGCAAACATGTTCTCGTGACAGATGTCAAAGGTGGGATATGCTGTCTGTTTGAAGAGATCGCCTCTCCCTGCTGTGTCTACAGGTCAAGAAGTGAGAGGGAAATCTACTCAAAAGTTCTAGCAGGATTCTTAGCCATTTTCTACTCTATCCAAAACTAGCATACATATCTTTAGCTGTGAAGTTGTCACAGGATCCTAACATATGCCTACATTCATCTCTTTGCTAGATGCCAAGTGTATAACACTTTGAGACAAAAGGGGTCCTTGTGGTGTGTCTTTCCATGCCCTCTATGTTCCATATACTATTAGGCCACACAGAAGTCACTTGCAGTGATTAATTAAAGCTATGATAGATCTGGACAATGCACCGATCATAGTGCTCCATTCAATACATACAGTATAATTACCCACTGAAACAACCATAAACCTTCATTCACTTTTTATTTTTATGTATATCCTGTTCTTACTTTACTAGAATAAAGCAACATTGTATTTTTCCAGATTCACTGGGATATATTCTATCCTTATTTTCCATCTTTTACAGACAATAATTAGACCACTGCTCATGAATATGAAATGTCTTAGCCCCTATAGAGCTACAATATACCGTTGATCAAATGTGCTGCTATGAAAATAGTTACAAATTATGGCTCTTTAGCTAATGCTACTGACAGATCTTAAAATGCAGTTTTACCATATATTACATAGTTATGTCACGGATCACCTGATGTCGTCTTCTTTCTTGAATAAGACCTGAATTAGCACTGGTATTATATATATAACATTGGTATTTTATCTGCGGAAAATGCATCCAAAACCACAGCTTGCGTAAGACCTACCATCCTACAAGCCATCAAATGACTGTCAAATGAATGCTGCTTTCAGATTCTGTGTTTTATAAGTGTATGTTCTTTATGTTCTTTGCACTGCATATCTGCTTTGAAAGTGGATTTTCAAGGAAAAAAACATACATTGTTTGCTTGAAGCCCCTCCGTGCACCATCATAGTAGGCTCTCCACCTCCCACAGCTCCCTCATTAACATTCACTTTTTGAGTTCAAGCCCTCTTTGAATCTGAAGTTGTAGCTTGGAAATTGGGAGCTTTTTTTAGGGGGGACCTTTTGGTGCTATTACACATAGGGATATGTAGTTTACTAGGAAACTAATTTTTTAACAGTAACAAAACACTGGCACTTCTTAAAGCATAAAAAGGAGTTGTATGTACAAATGCTGGTTACCTCTGAGCTTCACTGGTCAAAGTGGCAACGCCACTTGTGTATTAAAGAACCAACCTGCTCTGGACTACAAAAGAAAAGGCTGCAATGGCAATAGTTTCACCATTATAAGTGCTGCTCACACTTGCAAATATTTTAAAATGGTGGAACCTTTATTGAAATATTTTATAAAAAAATGACTTGTTTTTTTTTTTTACTATGTATGATAGAGTTGAAACGTTTTATGATTTGTTTTTTACTTATTTTCTTTACTGTGTTCCCCCACCATTGCTTTTTTATTATTATGAATGGATTAACCACAATGGGGGTCACTCTTAAAGGTCCTGGACATATCTGCAGCTGTGAAACCTATTCTCGATGGCTCTGATGCCATGCCAGGCCTTCATTATAGCGAGCACTTAAATAAGTCAACACAAACTTGAAGCACTAGTACGTTGAGTGGGAGTGGGATTTAGTAAAAATTGTACACTTTTCTAAGAAGCAACTTCGCCTGTTTCTGAAGCCCTTCAAAGAAATCTGGAACTGAATCAGCAAATTCTTTACCAGCTTTCATTGCTAATATTTCAGTTGAAGGTGGAATCTGTAGCCCCTGTTTATGGCTTCTGGCTATGTTTCCACTTACCTTAGAATTGTAGGTGTACTTTTCAACCTTTGAATGTCGCCAGTCCTGTTGCATTCTGAATAATCTGAAATATAGAGGTCTTGCCACCACAGTTCCCTTTAGATATTATAAATGATGAATGAACTTTCAGCACCTACCAAAAACAATATACATATAGATACATGGTGGACTGACCCTTGAACACTAATATTTTTCTACTCAAAATGGACCTCAGATCCATATGTTAGTTGTAGCCATTTTGTCATTAGGTACGATAGTCAGATAACCAGCTCACAAGGATATACTATCTTGCACCTAATCCCTAGTGAATTAATATGGTTAAACACTAAAACCAACAACATAATGGGCAACATAAGGGCTTTCACTGTGGGTGTAGTTGATGCATCTTCTTTGTCTTCCTGTAACAGTCTTCATGTCTATCGGTACCAGCACATACTCTGGATGATCATTTATGCTAAAAGATGATTGGTTGGGATGGTGCTGGCTGTGTTCACAGCATGACCAATTGACCATGGACCCATGGGCAGTATGTTTAGCAGTTGGGCCATGCCACAATGTCCAACTGCAATGTGTCTATGTCTCTTCAGTTTAAGGGGTCAGTAAACCAAATTCTACCTTGCTGTCTATAAAACTTATGTAAATGTATGCTAAATGGCCAATAGTTTATGGAAACCTGATCAACAGATCTGCATGAGCTTGTTGGATGCACCACCAATAAAACCAAGATTTTGAAGCTGTAAAAGCCTGCACTCATTCTGAAGTCTTTTTACAAGGTTTTGGAGTATGTTTGCATTCGGTCAAAAAACATTTGTTAGATCAGGTACTGATTCGGGATAAGGCATTCCCCTCTGCACAGCTGTGTGTAAAGAAAGTTGGATGCGTGTGACATATTGATGTTATATGGCCACATAGCATTCCATTCCTTTGTTTATGTGCAACTGCAGAGCAGGACTGACAGTTTCCTTCCAGGTTTGGATGAGCTTGGGTTCAGTCCGAACCCAAGTTCATCCCTAGTTCTGATGTGGGACCAGAAGACCTGGCTTTCAATTGGCATTACAGTTCATCCCAAAGTTGTTCAGCAGGGTTGAGGTCAGGGCTCTTTGCAGACCACTCAAGTCCCTGCAAGCAAGCAAACAAAGCATTAATGCATTTATGCAGCTGTCTGTGTACACAGGGGCACAGTCCTGATGCAACCAAAAAACACCTTCCCCAAGCTGGTGCCACAAGGTTGGAAGGGCACACTTGCCAAAAATGTCTTCCTATGCTGTAGCATTAACAGTTCCCTTCTCTGGAAACTCCTGCATTATGGGATGCCCATATACTTTTTTTTCATTTAGTGTGATGGTCAGGTGTCCCCAAACTCTTGGTCATATAGTGTAACATACATACGGTATGTAAAAGCTGCAGATGCTACACAGATCTGGACAACTGAGAAAAGGTTCTGATTTTAGTAGAGACAATTTCCTACACCTACATAAGTCACAAAGCAAATCTGGTCAGTCTAAATCTTCCTAAAATGTCTGGCAACATAGAACTATATGTATCAAAAAATACAAATTCAAATATATTCAAACAGTCGATATAGGGAATTTCACATAAATATTAATGAATGGTATTAATTTCTCTTTTACACTGACATACGTCACATTTTAGGGCTACTGTTCTGTTAAACCATCTTGTATTCTATCCAATTGAATTAAAATAAGACTGTATGTTGCCTATAAGTGTGAATGTGCATGACTGACCTTTTTGTAAATATTTCACACTTAACACTGGCGTACTAAAGACTACAAAAAAAAAAAAAAAACTGACTACTAAAAGTTACTGTGTTACTTTATAGCATTGTGTCAATGGAGAATTGTTGTTTTTTTAATTTGAAGAATTTGATACATTTATAACTTTTTGTACAAAAATGTTTTGACCATAGGCTGGTCCTTGTTTGAGGTCAAAATCTTGATTTTTAGAAATGTTTCTGTAATCTGTATTTTGAATAGAACAACTGCAATAAATGTGACTTGAAAAACATGTGTATTACTCGTGGTTGTAATTAGGGTTGCACAGATACCAAGTACAGTACTCGGTACAAGTACGAATACATGTACCGATATCT